CAAATTCGTTGGGAATCACGGCGTGGCCCGCACGCACGCCACACGGAAGAGCAAAACACGTCGACTACCGTGTCACTCGCATTAATTTAATATGATACGAGCAATTGATCCGGGCTCCCCAGTTATTACTGTTTCGAGGTCGGTTCCGCGTTTTCTATTCCCCGGGCGTAAATATTCCCCCAGCGAGATCCCCGAGCCGAGGGGAAATTATTCGCTAATAAAATCGACGACGACGAGGTCGCGAACGGTAATATCGGGATGGAAATAGTGAACCGTATAAGCGCTGGGGACGAGTCAAGCTGTTGAATCATGGAAAACTATATCACTGTACTTAAACTCGAAATTATCTCGTGATCCTTCGGATTCCAGAAGATATGCAGCTCGATTATTGTCGCGGCGCGTCGCATTGAAAGTACCGTGGTTCATGCAGCTGTCGCTACTCTGACACGTTGATTGGCACAGTGAAAAAGGCCGTGCCTAGCCAGACACGGCTTTACTTCGTTTTTTAAGTCATAAATCGTCGACAGTATACAGGATTGCCTATATAAAACGATCCACTTGAATGTCTTCATAACTTTTGTCGATATTAAAAAATGTTTCAGACAAAAGTTAAATGGTATAGGGGGCATACTTTCTGATGTAACTTTTTCTATATGAACGCTTAGAATTGTCCATTTAGGTGTTAATGTATAAAGTTTTGAGATATATCTTATATTTATGTAGGAAACTGCAAGTAACATCAAGGTGCATTAAAAAATATACGATTACATTTAAAAAAAACAAAGTTGACCTCCATATTGTCTCTATACATCCACATATCAAACAGTGTGCTCCTTGTTATCATTAAACTTTTGTCTGAAACATTTCCCAATATCGTCAATACTTTCGGAGATATTCGAGTGGGTCGATTCAATCGGAGCACCCTGTACACGTCCAGTCAATAAAGGCTGTTGGTCTTGTGTACCGTGATATTAATTTTACGCAACCATTTTGCAAGGATATTTAAATAATCCAGTCCCTTGTGCAACGTGTCACCTATATCTGTGTAACGTGGCAATCAACGTGTTAATTAACAATTTCCTATAAAATTGCTACGTTCTTACGCAAAATTAATATTCAAACAAGCCCCGTTCAGGGGAAACTGTGATCGATCGTTGAAAAGTTCGGAGAATCGATTGCATACACTGTTACCGGCCGAAGAATCGATCGCAAAAAAGGATTGCAAAAATAAAAGCGCAGCAGTGACGATCCAAAGATGTCAATCACGCCGCGTTGACGAGCAACGGCGCGTGCGAAGCCCGTGGAATGGAATTCGTCGACGGAATGAAATAGAAACAAACGTGAACGAAAGTGGGGATTGGGGTTTCGAAACAGCTGGCGGAGGTTCTGCCGCGGAGAAACACGCTGTGCAACCACACAAATAGGGCCGTCCAGTTGGCCGAATAGGCGGGAAGAGTATCGCCCAGAGGATCACCCAGACCCCGCAAGCGTGCGCGCGACTTGCTACAAAATGCCGACAGCTACGGTAAAAAAGGGTAATAAAGGGAAAAGGAAGAACAGAAACAAGTATACGGTGGACGAAACAGAGAGAAAGAGAGAGTGCAACTGAAATTGTGAATGGGTCAGCGAGTGTTCGTTCGCGCGTATTTCGAAATCATTGTTACGTGAAATGAACAGCTGCGCAAGCTACCCGCACTGCCCATAGAAACGACGATTCGATTCGGGCGCATCCCGCGCCCCGACGGCCGACTTTTTCATCGTTCACCTCCGACCCCAACTCTCGGCTTGAATTTCGACTTTCCGCGTTCGCACCTGAAACACTCGCCCACAGATTCAAAGAAAAGCTAATTCCTCGACCGAGATTTTTCAGACGATTCCCTTCTGAATATACAGGGTGTAACAAAAATGTTGTCCGACTCGTAAATGGGGCACTCGGGGGTGAATTGGAACAAGTTTTTCCTTAGCAATAATGTATCTGAGTCAGTGATCTACCGCGGGAACTCAGCTGGCAAACTCGCGCTCTGATTGGTCGGGGTTTTTCGTTAATATCTCTGGAACGAAGCCTCAGATTACATTGCTAAAGAAAAACTTGTTCCAATTCACCCGCTGAGTGCCCCATTTCCTGGTCGGACAACATTTTTGTTACACCCTGTATATGTTTTATCCTCCTGGTAAAACCTACTCACGTTCGACGATATTTTCCTCGGGACGGATCGAGTAAACCCTCGCTTCGTGCGTTGGTGGTTTTATCGTACGGCTGTGTGTCTGTCTGTTGGTTGGCTGTTTCTACTTGCACGCTATTTCCCAACGAAAGAATAATGGCTGCTTTTCCGATCGTTGGAACGAACACACCGAGGAACGAGTATTTTTTACCGACAGACAGACAACGTCATTACCGATCACGGAATCCATCCCTCTCGTCTCACGGAAGGATTTCGTTTCTTCTTTGCGCTAGGGAAGACGATTAGGGAACAGGATGGGTCTTCGATGTTTCTCTCTAGTTCGTGTTCGATCGACCGATCGAAGAATCCTACCAAGAACCACCCGTTGGTCTTCTAAGAGAAATAGGGAAACGTTTGATCGTTCCAGGAGCTTCGTGGCGGTCGTTGATCCGAGAGACAAAAGAAATAATTACTGTTGGAAGCAAGTTAGCCCGGTTGTGCCCCTGGCTCGGAGCGCGAGTTGCGACAAGGGTAAGACGCACGGGGGATGATGAGCTTCCACGGTCGTCAGCTACACTGTTCTCTCTTTGCCAGTCGCGTAATCGTATTTTCCAAGTCTGAATGGAAGCTTGTTATTTTTGCCCACTCGGGAAATAGGTCGGGGTTGAAATTATTAATTAATACAATTTGGATCTGTGCTCCAACATTAATTAACCGTCATTTGTGACGTTTCTCGGCGGTCGGGACGCAGTTTCATTCGTTTAAATCAACGGGAAGAGCCCGAGGTCGAGGGTAGCCGGGGGGAGGAAGGGAGGGGCAGGAATAATTGCGTATTAACACGGTAAATTGTTTTCCACGCCCGACCACCACGGATCGAGACTTTTGTTTCAACCATGGACCGGAACTAAAATCAAGCACCGACTTCTCGCGAAACTTTTCGTATCCACGATGCGATTCCACTGAGCGACTATTTAACCATGTAAATTGCTTTCTGCTAAAGCAGCGTGGTTAATACGTCATTTCGACGGACATCAGAGTCGAGCCACATTACGTTCAGATCGGTTAACCGACTCAATGGAACTCGTACGTGGCCCGCTACGATGGCCAGTTGCATAATGGTCCGGAATCAAAATCTAACTGTTCAGGTGCTCGAAAAGAAATTTCTTTTATCTTCCAAGAAACTCATATCGACTTACTATTATAATTATATTAGATAAATTTTTCGAACAATTAATTAATAAGATCGAAACTTCCATCTACCGGATATTGCGAGAAAAAGCTTGTATTTTTCTTTATTTATATAATAACGACTAATAATTGTGTTATATAACATATAATAATATAAGTAAAATAATAATATGCGCTGTCAAATGTTTATACCGAACCACTGCGAGTCGTCTTTCCGTTCGTAATTGTTCCGAACACAAAACCAGCACGCAAGCTGCGTCATAAACGTGCATTTGTCGAGCGACATTAATCAAACGATGGGACACGCGATTCTCAGCCCGGCCGTGGAACGTTCGTGAAAGAGAAAGAAAAAAATCGAACGATTCGAACCGCATTCATCGAGCCACGGGCTCGCGACGATGTATTATTCCGGGGGAACGTTGCAAGCTCCGATCTTTCATCGCGGAGGGCCAATTAACTTCTTTTGTCGGGCACGAACGGTTAATCGATCGCTGTTGAATTCGTCGATTAATTATTCTCCGTGGGAACAAAAAGAACTCCGTTGGCCGACGATTTTTCCAGGCGGGGCGCGCGCATCGATTAACCAAGCGGACCGGAATCGGCTCCGATATAGATTCCACCCAGGTTTCCGGTTCCTCTTCCGTTGGGAAAACAGCCGTGGGATTAACCGCGCTCGCGTGCTCGCAGGTGTAATTGAATTTTTTCGCGAGCCACGCGGGCTAACTAATTATTTCTGACAAGGAATAACGAAATACCTCGGAGGCGACCGGCCTCGACTCTGATTCATTATTTCGTGCCTCGAATCCACGCGGGTTTCGCGTCGTGTCGCTTCGCTTCGGTATACGCCCGCGTGTGCTCTATTGTTTTCCATTCCATTATCGGTTTCCCGATCGTTGTTTCTTTCTTCTTTTCGTTTTTCACTCTGCTCCCGATACAGAGAGAACCAGTATAGTCTTTGTTTCGAGCGGGTGTACGAGGCGGCAGCCGACCGGAATCGATCGAATCGTGTCACAGTCGCATCGGTTCGGCCCCCGAACTGGAGAGGCGCGTACCGAATCGACGACGAGGCTTACGAACGACACAGTCCCGGATCTACTTTTAATTACGCGCTCATTAACGAAGGATTTAAATCTGAAAACTCGCCGCTCGAGGGCCGCGTTTACTCTTGCCCCTCCCTCCCATCGCCGAGTGTTTATTTTTCGCCAGTGCTCCTGCGTTCGCCGCGAATGGACTCGCCTCGGTATGATTAAAACCGTGATAGCAAATTCCCGTTCTGTGCCATTCCGATTAAATCTCCCGTCTCGTTTGTCGGACCACCCCGTCGCGCTACCCCTCGCCTTTTGCCCCCACCGCCGGACAACGGGGAACTTTTTTAAGGAGAAAATTAATTTCTCTAGATTGGTCCTCTGCGGGGTGTTTACCGCGATTACCGAGGGGGTGTAATTAAAATCCCCGATTATTCGGAGGAGATAATGGGGGGTGAACAATGTGGAATCGTTCCGACATGAATACAGCGAGGACATGGATAACACCGTTTTAAGTCGTCGTGATATATCGAGGACTTTAGATCCTAGGTAGCCAGGTGTATGTGTCACGAGCTTACAAATACATACTCTCTGTTCCAAATTCTACGATATATACACTTTTCAGACGCGCCCGAAACGAGACTGGTCGGCGTACCGACCGGCCAGCTGGAAGAAGGTCGAGATCAACTGGAGATTCGATGCCTGGCCGACGCGAATCCACCGGCTTCGATCCTCTGGAGGAAAACAAAGAGCCTCGGTGTGACGGAGGTGGCGAGCATAGGGGAGTCCCTGCTGTTCTCGCCGATCTACAGGAATCACGCGGCGGTCTATATCTGCGAGGCGGCGAACACCGAGGGTGAAAGCAGCCCCGTGTCCGTTCAAGTATCTGTGAACTGTAAGTGTTTCCTGTCCTCGTTTCCACTCCCCTGTTGTCTATATATATACCGTATCTGTGAACCGTCCTGAAAATATCCGCGATTAACCCTTCTACCATGCTGACACATAAACGGTCTGTTAAGTAAGAGGCACAGACACACACGATTAATCGTCGAGAAAGATGATTGTTCTTTCCTAAGAATAGAGGCTTTATTATCGTCGTTTATTATCGCGACAAGCATGCGTCCTGAAATAGTACTCGACGAATATCGATCTCGGAAAGGCAAACGCTATCGAATCATATGCAACGGTGACACATTGTGCATTTAAATGTTTGCGAATCGGAGGGCTTTGAACAGCGTCGGGATTAGAATGTACGCCGAGCATCGATCATTGTCGCGAATTAATCAGACGTTAAAACAGTCTTTTCACCGTTGGATGCGCGAGCGTCGATTCACGAACCGATTCGTGGCTGCTTAAACGTTTATCCCCCCTCATAATATTAACGTTCGCGCATTCAATAGGGTCGTTTCTCGTTTCCATGCAGATCCACCGACGATCAGCTCGGTCGGACCCGATCGGCTGACTACAGCGCTCCTCTTTTCCGGCGCTTCGTTCGAGTGCAACGCCGACTCAATACCGCCGGCTGAATACAGGTGACCTGATCTGCGTGCTCTCCGACACTTAACCAGGGGTGGAAAAAGAACAGTTTGTGTGGAAACGGTTCGGTTCCGGTACAAGAACCGTTTCCACTTTACGACTGTCGCACAGTAGTACAGAACGCCGATTTAGGAGTTCTGAAGCTTAATTTCGATGTAAAAATGGGAATTTTATATTTTTGTTTAATAAATATGAACATTGAATACATTTTTACCAAGTTTGGTTTCGAAATTTTCATTTTTACACCCAAATTAAGCTTCTGAACTCCTAAATGGGCGTTCGAAAACCCATTGATTTGAAATTTAAATATTATTTTTATGCCATGGAAAAAGATGTCTTTTTATCGCAAACGAAGAATAACAACTGAAATATTTTTCCATTACTATTTTTTAAATCAGTGCTCTTCAATTAAAATCCAGGAATTAAGAAACCTTCCTTACTTTCTTTCTGTTAAAAACACAAGAAGAAGAGCACCGATTCAGTAGTTGCACGAAGTTCTTAATCTCATTTATTACCGTTTATTTGCACACTTATAGTTTCTCTTTTTTTTTTTTCTTAAGTTTCCTTTGTTTCTTTTTCTTTGTACCTAGAAACATTACGCTTCGCACGGCCGTAGACGTGTTTCCGTTTGCCAAATAGCCAAAGCACCGTTGCACGCGATAGGGTAATAGGCAACGTCGTATTCGAAACCGCGACAATGGTTCTTTCCGTGGGAGCAGATGGGCCCAGATCTTCGCCGACGGCCGGATGCCAATGGAGTGCGGCACCGGGCAGCGATTGATCCTGACGAACGTTACGTACGAGCAGCAGGGTCAATACATATGTCTCGCCTCGAACAAGATCAACGGGAACGTCAGAGAAGTTAAAAGCGACCCTGTGTCTCTGCAAGTGGTCGGCGCGCCCAGGGTAAGATCCACGACCGTCGAGTAATCAAGTATAAAGATAAAAGCTAAAGATACAGTGTGGTAAGAAATGCGTAATAAAACTTAATATGTGTATCATGAAAATTAATATTTAGTAAGCTTATTAATTTTCATGATATATTAAGTCTTTGAACATTGACAGATCATTTCACCACATTTTTTACAACATAAGCTATCATTTATTATTTTAAAATTTCTAATTTTGTTTTGTCATGATATCTTTAAATAATGTGTAACGTAGAAGTTTATTAGTATATTAGTGCCTAATACCCTGCAAATTTCGGATCGACTGAATTTGTTCATGAGTGACGACCATTAATTATGACAGAATTTATTATTTCTTAACACACTGTACACACGAACGACAAACGTAAAACGTTGCATGATTCCCCGTTTCGTCGGAAAATTTATCTGGAAAACTTTAGACCCGGGGCTAGTAATAAATCGATCGGAATCTGTTAAAAATTTAATCGCTCTCCAGCCACCGGAAAATATCGGGAATCGCGGAAACCGACGTTTTTAACGCGTCACTGGTACCCGTGTCAACGGTTCTCGGTGTTTTTATTGCGAAATCAATGTAATCGAGAGAAACAGAGGATTGCCGTCCACGAATAATTAATAAAATCACTGTACAGCTATGCGGGCGTGTACATCGTGAACTGTTGACGCACACGCGCGCACACACGCGCCAACTACCACCGCGACGTGTTTAAATATGAAATGAAAAATTCATATTTAACCGGGCGAAGAGCGAACGGAAGAGGTAGAGAAAAAAAAATATACATCCGAATGGAACGTCATTTTCACGAAATACTCCCGTCGGTTGATTGCAGCTACAATGTTTTCATTCGCATCACCTCCGCGTATTTCGATCCGTGAACCATCGAGGACCATTTGCGTGGTTCCTGGATATTTCCCGGAATCGATTGGAACGTTGTGATTTCAGTGCATAAATGTTGATTCGAAAACGCTGTCGAAACATAGAGACGTTGAAAAACAGAGTGCTAGCGGACATACTTCTGCACCTTGACGCGATCGATCGAAACCGATTTCGATGAAAGTGATAGAATGATTGTCCGAAAGTTCAGAAACGAACGAAGGTGGAGGAGCGATCGAAAACAGGTGTAGCTGTACAGTGTGTGATCAAATTATTACGAACACTTCGAAGTACCAGTCATTTAAATTTTGATCAGGGGCGGAATTGAAAATACACTTCTTTCAACTCGTACTACCACCTCTTGGACCATCTACACCAACCAAAATTATGCATTTTCCACCAATCACGACTCGATCCGTTCCAATAAGCATCTATACATTCACTCATTCACCAGAACACATTCAACCGTGAAAAAGAACACATCGATCAGTCAGAACACAACCAGTACACACATACACATACATCACATTGTAAAGTTTATATTAAAGTCTAAGTCTGTTACTAAGTTGTGTGAATCATTTAGAACGCATATTACCACACACCAACAAACCATCTTTCCAACGAGCTCCGCGATATTAATTTACCTATCGCCAGTACGCCGCAATAACAGTAACAAGTCATATTTACAAAATATCAACGGTAGTACACAATTGGTAACTTCTTATTGTGCAAATATGCGTTTTATTGTATACACCGATTACTGAACATACAAATATAGTGAAATTCTGTATCTACACGTTAAAAATAAGAAGAAAAGGTATACTTCGTCCTTAATGAAGTCATAATAACACCAAAAACATAAAATATGTAATTTCTCCGTCTGTTCATAATAATTTGATCACCCACTGTAAACTCTATTAAACGTAGGACAAGGACGGATCTTGAGAACGGAGAAGATCCGGGGAGTTGACCGATTCAAGGAGTTGTTAAACGCGTGTCGTAGGTGGTAAAGCCGGCCATCACCGAGAAGTTTGTCGTCGCGACGACCGAGGGGAGCCCGGCGAAATTAGAAATCCGACTGTGCTCCGACCCGAAGCCCCGGCTGGTGGCCTGGGAATGGGGCAGCACCAGACTCCACGCCGGTTAGACCGCTTCTCCCTAGCTCTACCGCCGAAAAAGTATTCGAGTCTTTGGTTTGCCCTTTCAGTCTCTTCATTTTTCCTTCCTTTTTCATTTTTCTTTTTTTCTTTTTTATTACCTACGTCTCTTCTCCACTAATTGGTACTCCTTATCGCTGAAAAGTGGTACACTCGCGATTAATTAATTCGAGCATCCCTTTTAGCCGCGAACTCCCCTTTAATTACTCGCCTTTTTTCCCGCGTCATCCTCGAGCCCTGCCAGCAACTTCCGCGACGGGAGACCCTTCGATCCTTCCTGCTCCGGAGCGATGCTACCGAGAATCAACGACGACGCCGTTCGATCGTGCGCCGTCGAGCCTCTCGAATCCAGAGACACCTTTACCTCTTCCCCTCGGTAGAATTTCGATTGTCCTCCGTATGTACCAGACACATTAATCCCCGCTTTGATTTCTTTCACTTTTTTCCCGATCGAAGTGTCGTGGAAGAATCTTAGTTCAGTTTCCTTCCTTCGTTCTCTCCTGATTAATAGTAGATAATGACCGGGGCCTTTTCACGGACACTCGGTAGCTGGTGATTAGTTTCTTCGATAAGTTCATACTGTCTGTATCATTCCTGTGTTCGAATTCGAATGTTTTATAAGGTATAAATACTTCAATTGTACAATTAACACGGAAAATGTGGCAACACTTGTAACAAGGCTTAAATCCTGGCCAATCTCAATTACTATAACAGAAAAAAAAATCCAATGCCAGTTAGAACTCGAGAACACAAGATCGCTAAGTGTCCCGCGTGAAAAGGCCCCTCGAGGTCTCAAGGCGGAATCGCACAGGGAAGCGTAAACACCGTCGTGTACCGAGGATCGTCTGAATATTCGTAGGTGAGGTCCTCGAGTCACGGTATCGAGCCCTGGATCTAGAGCCATTGGCGGTGGAGGACTGTTACACAGCCGTTTTGGAGCTGACCAGCACGGTCAAGGAGGATCAGCGGTTGTACCACGTAATCGTTGAAAACGAGCGAGGCAGCGATCGTCGGGCGTTAATGTTGAGAGTCGACGAACCGGGCCAGGTAATTATAATGATGTTTCTCGCGACTCGTGGAACGGACCCCCACCCCTGTTGTTCGTATAATACAGAGTGTCCCAAAATAGCTTCGACTCCCGGAAATGAGAGGTTCCTTGGGTGATTTGAAACAGTCTTTCCTTAATAAAAATCGAAGCTATTTTAGGACACCTTGTACATATTCCACGTTGTTCCGTTGGGAACGAACGAGCTCAGGTGGCGATCCAGGCGAACGACGGCCCAATTAAATCACGGGGGGAGGTGGGGTATGGGAGTCCCTCTTGGTATTTCATTAAAACGAGCATAAATATTCGGTACGCGTGCAGCGGACCGAGGTTCTCGTTCCAACGTGGCCGCGGGAGAAAGCTTTTTTTCGTCTCCCGTATTTGTTACAGATTCCGCTCGTTATCGGCGCTGTAGCTGGGTTTACGGTGCTCTCCGTCCTGATAATGGGATTCGTTTGTTTCCTACGTTCGGATAGATGCTGCGTTGCCAGGAATACGGTACCTGCGCTACAGCAAGTGCATTGGTAAGCACACGGTGTTTGCGTCCCTCGCTGGTTACTTCCACGAATAAACGTCGAAGTAATTTACATGGAGAACCGGGAGGGGGGAACTCTTTCGAACTAGCCAAACGTCGATTTGGAAAAAAATTAGGACCCAATCTCTCCCTAGTAGGAGGCCCCAAATCCCGATCCCATAATACCCGTCGTTCCCATTCCACTGACCAGTAGAAGCATCGAATAATGATCAGACAAGTCATTGAGTAGTACACATAGCTCACTAGTACCACGTTCATATAGTGGGCATGGGCGTAGCCAAGGGGTGGCAGAGGGTTTTTTGCCGCCCCCCCTCCCTTCCCAGAGTCACAAAATTTTTGCATAATATTTAATATTGCAGTATAATTTGAAACACGACCAACAGCCTCTGTTAACAAAACGCATACATTTGCAATGAATTATGACTTGAAAAACAAACTAAAGTGTCTGGCTACGTACAGCCTTTTCACTGTAGCAGTCGAGGTGTTAATATTTTTGACTGATAACCTGGCTACGCCCATGATGGTGGGTTCACAAAAAATGGAATAACCCGCGAGGAAAGATCACGAAAAGAAATAGAATCTGTCGGGATTCGAGCGGACAGGTTGGTCTATTTCAGTACAAAGGCCTCGAACACGATGATCGAGGATCCACGTTTGGCCGTGGAGACGATGGAACGTGGCAGCCAGCAGTACGCCTCGGAAAAACGGCCCAATCACGTTCTGAAGCCGGTCCCGTCGCAACAGTACCAACAGGAGTGTTATCAGCACGATCCGCCGCCGCACCCCCAGCAACACTATCAGAGGCATCATCATCACCACGGGCAACACCACGGACCACAATACACTCTTCAGGTCAGATAAGTTGATAGACAGAGAAACAAAGAGACGAAAAAATTATTCTCGCAAAAAAAAATGAAAAAAAAAAAGTAGAGAACGATGTCGCTGAGCGACGTCCCTTGGACTTCACTTTATTCCCCTTCACCCCTCCGTTCACCTTTACGCTCCCTCGTTCACCTGGATAGTTGCGCGAACGCACGCGAACGACGCAGCACACAGACCCTGACCATTCGAGGAGCCCCGTTGGTTTTTTTCCAAGAGATTTTTTAATACTCCCGCGATTCCTCCGGTTGAATCGTTTTACGCGCACCGGCAACGTTCGCCCCGCAAATTCTCCGAAATCATTTATAAAATTCCCTCTCGGCTCTAATTCACGCTGTGTTTTTACTCCGTCGACCACCGGACGGAGATACGGTTCCTTTTTCCTTTTTCCTTTTTTTCTTTTTTTTTTTTTGATAGTTTTTGCCAACGAGAGCCCCGAGGAAACTGGAGAAAACCTGCGTACCGCGAATGGTCCGCGCATAGAAAGGGTCGAATCTCGTGCCGGCGTCTCGTTCCGTTCGCGCTTTAGCCCCGTTTTGCGATGCGATTACGTTCGGTTAGAGGTTTACGAAGCATGATTTTTACCCCCCTCCCCCTAGCGAGAGTTTCGACGGGGTTAGAAAAGAATGGACGATTTTTAGCGTTCGATCGATGATTTTACACACAGAATGTAGCGGGGCCCAGTTCGAGAGTCCATCTAGTCATCCCCGTTACACGTTTTCAGATGTTTACACGAGATCGAGACCTTCGCAAGAATCGGAGTGTTCCGTCTGGCATGAACGAACCCCTTAGTTTTCGAATCTAGTGGTTAGTTCGAGTACTCTGCAAGCGTTTGCAACCCCATCCCCACCTTTGAACGAGATCGTTTTTAAAACCGCACGTATTAGCGTAGGCGTGCTTGTCGACGCACATCCTCCTATATCCGTTTTCGTTCCATCGAGATGTTCGAGATCCCTCTAAACGCGCGACATCGTCGATATTCCCGATCCCCCTTGGTACTTCACCTTTCTTTCTCTCCCTGTCTACCTCCCCTAACTTTCCGTTCGCACTTATCGAGAAGTGGTCTCTCGTAACGAAAGCATCGTGCTGGTATATATACATACACATATATTGAACACGTATTCGAGAGAGATCGGTGAGTGCGCACGTGCTCGACTCGAATGCAGATAATCCCGATGAATAAGAGCAGTCCGTCTATTGGGCCGCGATCATTTAATTCTAGCTGTTTTCGTCCCCCGATCGATCGCGTTTCCATGTTAAAACCTTCCCTCGTTTCGAGGGAACAGCTCACCCTCACCGTTCGCCGAGAATTTCGACGTCGTACATTACCGACGAAACAAATATCTCGTCTTCGAGAGTCCTCTGTACATACATACATACACGCGTTACGAACGGTGAGGGTGCAGTAATATACAGTGAATCGTCGATGAGTGCTCGAAGGCTCTTGACAAGGAGAGATCCCCAGGTGTAACGCAGACTTTTTAACCTCTTAGCTGTGTTGCCGCTTTTTAAAAGTGTACCTAAGTTGTCTCAAAATATTCTAAAAAATTCTAAAATTAACAAATATGTCTCAGTTATCACGAAAATTGTAATTTCATTAACAAATGGTTATTACTCTTCTCACACTACGCATATACTCGACATCACACGAAGAAATTACCATTAATTTATGAAGAGTATACTCGTCACTCACAGCTAAGAGGTTAATGAGGTTTAGTGCAGTGTTAGACCTTGGAATTCTGAAGCCAATGTTATTTGTTTCAGCCCCATATGGCCATTAGTTTATGGAATATTTAATGTTCAGTGCCGAGGAGCCTTCGAACACTCATCGACGATTTACTGTATACCGCTCCTAAAGTGTCGATTAACGTTTCAATCATCACATACTCGTGTGTATATATACGTCAAAAGAAAAGACGAGTTTTACCGTAATATTCGTGCAATAACGCTCGTAATATAGGCTCTCGCAGGTATTGACCATCGTCACCCTTGTCACCCACTCCTCCTTCGTTCCACCACCCCCCGATCTAGATAGTCATTTGAGTGATTTATGCGGTCGGCAGAGTGCATTACGCATGCATTTGGTTGCATCCACTCCCCCGCCGGTGTCCCTTTCCCAATTACCCGCAATCTCCTTGTAGGTAATTTAATTTAGGTACGTGGTACGTAAGTAGCGGATACAGCCACTTCTCCCATAACGCGATTACGATCTTCCGGTGCCAGCCGAACACGGGGTGTACACCGTTTCCGCATTAATTAACGACGAACGATCGTTAGGTTGGACCACGAACGAACGAACGAACGATTTTCTCGTTGCACGTTGACCCGCGAAACTGGGTCGAGACAAACGTCGAAACGGTACCGGATCGAAAGGAATTGTTGTTATAGCGGCTTCAATCGAGAATGGTACCGATACCATTCTCGCAGTATCGGGACTTGAACGTAGTAATCGGTACGATTGCACTTCTGTTTGACAACACTCCGTACGTTTAGCAGAAAATAATTAGTTCCAAACGCAATCGTAACTGGTGGTGCTATCGTGGGAAAGTATGAAGAGCAATTTGCGCGTATCCCCGACCTAACCCAAACCACAGCCAGTTTTAGTTTAATTGGACTCCCTGTTGGATCTAATACAAAATCGAGAAGGCTTGACAGGGATGTCTACATTAATGGTAGAAACTTCCATATCGCTTGTTCGACGAGAAGCGAACCCACTTAATAGGAAAACGTGTTCGCTATTGTTATCGATTGTAAAAAAAAATGGTAATGCTAGAGGCACGGAATAGGTACATGTACCATGTTATACGTTTCGTTCATTTCCTTAATGAATCATGAATATTTTATAAGAGATCTCCTGATAGCGAGAGTGTCACTCACTGTGCACATGCCTCGTTTCGAGCCTAGCCCGGATCTAATCGAAGTTTAATCAAAACGTCTGTAGTCTGCCCTCGATTTAACTTCGCCAGGCTCGAGCATTGAAATGTTTAGTGAAATCGAGTTCAGGCCTGACGCAGCCCCAGGTTCTTCAGGCCTAACGAATGTCACTCGGTCCATCCCCTACCTGACTTCCAATCGAAATTATTCAACACGGCCCAGTTTCGCGACATATCATCTGCATAAGAAGTCTCTCGTGTATCAGGTATTAACTAGGATGGGTCCAATGTACCGATGAACGTTGATCCGCATTATGGAAGAAGCGACTTGTATCGACGAGAAGCGATTGCGTTCCAAGCTTTTCGTTCTAACCAATCGATGTACGTTACCATCCATCGTTTTTCCATCAAAACTGAGCCGTTTCCGGCGACGGCAGCGCGCGCATCCTTCCACGTATGTTTCCAAACGAAAGACTGACTCGCATTAAGTGTATTCCTTTCGTAATTATATACCATCGGCTGAACATTGTCGCGATCATGTTGCAACGATTGTTACGAAAGAAGCTATCGAGTATATCACGGTTGTGAGAGTAGTTGGGTTATAAAATGAATCGTCGTTGGAAGAAATCACGTGGCCGAGGGATATTCGAGCGGCGTGCAACCGCCGTCCACGGGTGTTATTAATTAACGAAGCCCACGGTTAATCGATTTACACGCGCCACGATATCGAACCGTTGCGTTGGCTGGCGGCTTGCGAGGATAAAAATAACGTGAAAACTGTCCGCGGGTGTTACGTAACGTTAATTAATAGAAGCGAACACGCCGACGTTTATTTAAGGTGGCTTTACGGTGTCGATGAACGACGGAAGTTAGCCTGGCCTGTGCACGCGCGTCCATTCGAACAACCACACACGGATCGCTGAGCGCATACGTGCATCTAGTTACTTAAATCGATACACCGAGAGAGAGAGAGAGAGAGAGAGAGAGAGAGAGAGAGAGAGAATGTGTGTGTGTGTGTGTGGGTGAGAAAGAGAGAGAGAGGAATAACGTGCACGCTCGTTAGCGAACCGTAAACGATTTAATCGCTCAAGGGAAAATTTCCGTTGGTTGCGTTTAGTGGCAACGATCCCCCCCTTCCGCCCCTCCGTTACCCGACCGATATCGTCGCGAATTCGTTTTACGACCGCGTACGATCTGCTCGGACTACATACGTTTATGTACTGCCCGCGTATGTACAGAGTGTTCCAAAATGATGGGACAAACCGCAACGTGCATATTCCTCATGCAAATACCAATCGAAAAGTCCTTTACCGTTTTGTAATCTGAAGCACCGTTTCCGAGATATTATCATTCGAACGAACTCCGATCAGCTGAGCAGTCGGCTGCACGTACGCGCAGGCGCAATTAAGTAGCAGTGGCCAGAGAGCTGACTCGCGCGCTTCTTAACTGGCCTGCGCGTACATGCGGCTCAGTTGATTGGAGTTCGTTCAACTGGATCCTCAATCGGATCGCAAAACGGTAAAGAGCACCCTGTACACATACACATAATAATGTTAACGTCCAGATACGGGCCGAGTTTATTTTCACCTCGCGCCGGTTTCTCCGTTTAATTTGATCGCGACACGCCGCGTTGTTACCGTTATCGAGAGATCATTGTAACGATTAATTTCATCGCTGCCTCGTGACTCGAAACCGCTTGTCGCCAACCAACCGGGTTAATGTTCGGTGCACACGAACAACACGGATGCGTCTTGTTCGCGATCTCGTTATTTCTTCGCGGATATTGCGCGCGTGGCATTATTGCAAAGCATAAGTCCCCGCCGAATTGCACCGCGCGCGTCACTTGTGTACGAAATTGCGGCGACGCTACCAAGCCGAAATCTTTCGGGTCTGTAATCGACCGACCGCAATCTCGTACCGATGGCTGTTGCGATCTATTGGAAACGGTTCGAACGAACTTCGAGCGCTCTATCCTCATCGGAACCACCCACCACACCTCGCCCCACCGTCAACGTAAAACCCCCCTTGCACCCTTGACGAAACTGTCACGTTCGCCAAAAGCATGCCGTTACCGAGACACCGCGAGTCACACTCTGATCGATCGGAAGCAAGGCTCCTCCACGACTGAACACGAAATAAAATTGTAACGTGAAACCGGCGGAGGAGAGTCCTGCTTTCAATTTTGTACAGTAAAAACAAACACACGGGACTCTTGCTTGCTTCAGTTTCCCCGGCATCTTCTTCAGATTCAGCTTTCTAGACACACACACACACATCGTGCAGGACCGTTTTCATCCGAACGGAAATGGAAGGGAAACAGGAGAATACTTTGATTTTGTCGATTACGCGCTGTTATTATTTTTATTAACGCAATGTTCACCGCAACGTTGCTTACCGTATCGACTGTATTAACGTGCACGTGGTGTTTATTCGGGGCTGGTAAATATTCAGAATTCGAAACGCGTGATCCTGTCGTTTCGTACAACGATATTGAACACGCGCAAAGGCTTCTTCTGTTTTGATTTCGCATGAAGGAGGAGTATGTACTCTTGGGTTAGAAAACACTGAAACGCACGATCAGTTGAACAGCACCGTTAAAGAACAATAATCTTATCGGTATACGAAGAGTAAAACGGCCCTGCTTACTTTTTCACTTCACCTATGACACTGCACAACACCGCACGCGATTCCTATAGTCGGAACAAATTCAGTAACGGCCGCACGAGGCCCGTTTCCATCGTCATCCGATATATTGAACCGGTTGAACGTGGGGCAATTAAGCAGGAAGACCTTTCAAGGGTTCGGCGACCAAGCATGATTTTGCTCCGACTAATCAGTTTACCATCGTCCCGTTTGCCACGCAACAACCCGTAGAATCGTAGTAATTGTTTAAAAGATTCTTACCGTTGCTGCACAGAGACGGTAGACATATACGCTCTCGCGACTCCCCCATGCAACGATCGCTGGTGATCCCCTTAAGATCCTTAAGATGAAAATTGTGCAGGGGGAGCAGCTGTTTCTCAAACCAGATCGTTTAGCGACACTGAAGCCCCACTGCAAGATCGAGAAGCCGCCACAGTACACGACGTTCAAGCCGAGCTCGAACAACTGAAGATTTTGCTATTTCTATTTTCTATCGATGTACACACGCAAAAAAAGAAACACACGCACACGCCGCGCGCCGTAGGGAAAAAAGAGAGAGAGAGAGAGAGAGAGAGAGAGGATGAGGAAAATCGCAGAGGGATGGGAGAGAAGAGAATAATCTGTAGGACAGGGAAGAGACTGAAAAAGTGGCAAGCAATCAAAACAAGGTGACCGACCGTAATTCGTTCTCCTCCCGTTTCACTTGTTCGTCGTTCGTACACGTATGACTTGCACACGGGATAGATTCGACTTTGTCTCAGGCCGAGTGTGATTCTCATCGTCGCCTGGATATTCCAGATCAATGGGTTCTTCGGTGAACTCGGTCTTTTTCGTCGCGCGACAGTACCTAAACGTTTCCAACGAGGATCGTCGTTTGGACGCGCAAGAATTTGTGATTGTTCTCGTCGTTCGTTGTTGTCGGTCGTCGATACGATCGTCGAGATTATCGTCGAGAAACACGGAAAGACGCGATCCGCTCGCCAATGTTAATCGATAGAGTTTTCCATAGTGAAGATCATTCTCTCGCAAAAAACAATACTGCCAGTATAATGGTCCGATTTTTAACGGACGAGATCTGTACGACACCGGTCGGAACCAAATCAAAATGAGAACTATATGAAATCGTATTTATAATGCTTACGATAATGTTGTTAATAAAGCGGTGATTTTCAGCAGTTACTGGTTTTATTAATACTGCGCGACGAAATGTCTTGACGGCTCGCGTCGCCACGCGACTTCTCCGGGGGGAGAGCGTTCCTTTATTTTCTGCGTAACTGTTGCTGATATCACTCAGAGACTTTCAATAAAGGAATTGTGCAAGAACTTAGTGTTATAATTGACCAACAGTCCCGACCAATGGTTATTGTCACTGAAACGTAAATAAAATATGGTTTGCTGTAGTTACTAGTTACTCCTATAAAAAAAAATTACGAAGTCCTTGATCAATTTCCGTAGTGACATGAACAGTTAAATTTACTTGTGATCCAAGGCCCACGATCGCATGAGATCAACGGATATCCTTAATGTTATAATTCAATTTGATTAAATATGTCTGATAATTACTCGAGACATTTCTGACGCCATCTACGGCAGAACAGCTAAACTGCTAGCCAATTAGAATCATTTTCCTGTCGCTAGATGATGCAACAATACTTTTTCGGGTTTGTTTTAATAAAAAAATAAACATTAAGTAAAAGACATAACAAGCGACAGTGACGCGACAATTAAATACTATATGTCTACCAAGTTATTTATTGTAGTTTGTCGTATTAATATAATTGTGTATTTCATAAACTTTTAGTCAAAAGTACGTCTAAAGAGTATTATAACGCTGTCTAACGTCAAGAACATAGTACAAAGTGATCAGTAGCTTGGTCGTTTTACCATAGATAGCGCCGCTGTCGTTTTCTTCCTCGTTTATCGTGGTATCATCGACTAGGTATAGGATAGACCTATACCTAACCTAGGTATAGGTACCGATAGTATTAGATAGTTAAGATTTAAGTTATTTATAAGGTTTATTGTGAAAGGTGGGAAGATGTAGAACTTGTGATTCCATCTACCTGCCTTGGGCCTCCACTCGCAGCAACCTCCTCGTGGTGAGGCCTGGGAATCGGTATTATCATCGGTAAAATACTGTAAACTGATGACAATATCGAGCTAATGGCTGCGAACTTCGAATCTATCTCATAAAATAACGTTCTATATTACATCGAACTAGGATTATTTTAGAAATCGATATGAGATTCAGTGTTCTAAAAATGTCTAGAACTTTGAATGTTATAGAAAATTATTTAGTGGATCTTGTAATGAAGCTTTATAAATGAATAACTTGTATTTTATCATAAATTATTAAACAACAACCCCGTCTTAGTATTTATGAGAAATATGAAATATTAATTATTTTTTTAAAATGATTTTAATTACGTTTTGTGCGTAAGATCAGGACAGAACTGCCCTAGACGTGTGGCGCGAGAATATTTAGGAATTTGTATTTTCATAAACGAAGTTAGAAACTAGTACTTGTGAGAACGGGCATCATTTTTCTTCGTCACGCATTAAAACATGGAAATTTCTAGTGATGGCAAAATGCAAATATCTCAATAATTAAGCGCTCAAAATGAACGTCATTAGTCTCATATTGTCCCTCAGGACTAATTGCAAAAGATTTCGATCGCATTTACACCGCTAAACGGGCATGATTCTTCTTCATTTTGCATTAGACACGACGTTTAAAGAACGTAGATTACTATTCTGTAACGGCTGGACACCAGTAATTACAAGAACATTGTTAAAATAGGATTTGCTTGCAACGGTTGACACTGTATCTCGTCATGCGTACCCCGGTTAGTTCACTTTGGACCACTCTTCCAACGTTATGCTGACGGTTCGCGTGTTGACCAAGCATTCAGATTGAAGCTTAAAGAACATAGATTAATCCCCTGTCATTGATAATAACAATAAACAACCAGAACACTGTCAAAATCGCATTTAATCGCGGATTACCACTATTTTTTTGACCCGTGGCGCCACCCGTGGCAATTCGCTCAAACTGCTAGCCAAATCATACCGACAGGTGAGTGAAAATTCCTAGTGACGGAAAAATGCGAATATCTCAGTAATTCAGTGTTCAAAATGAACGTCATTAGTCTCAAATTGTTCCTGAGGGTTTAACGCATCGACTCAATACTGCAGAACCCCAGGACTAGTAAAATTATTTATGCCTGTATTAACGTTGACCCTTATGGAGCGACAACCCTGTTTGTACAGATTTCTATCGGATTTACACAGCTAAACGGGCATCATTCTTCTTCGTCTTGCATTAGATACAACGTTTAAAGAACGCAGATTAATACTCTCCAGCGGCTGGGTACCAGTAATTACAAAACATTGATAAAATCTCAATTGTTTGCAACGGTTGACAGTGTATCTCGTCATGTGTGCGCCGGTTAGCACACTTCGGACTACTCTTCCAACGTTATGCTGACAGCTCCCGTCTTGTCCCAGCATTCAGTTTGAAGCACAGCTCTCGTCTTGTCCCAGCATTCAGTTTGAAGCTGAAGGAACGTAGATTAATCCACTCTTATTGATAATAACAATAAACGACCAGAACACTGTTAAAATCGCATTTAATCGCGGAGTACCACTATTTTTTTGAACGGTGGCGCCATCCGTGGCGAATCGCTGAAACTGCTAGTCAATTATATGGCTACCAGTTTCAGCGATTCGCCACGGGTGGCGCCACCGTTCAAAAAATAGTGGTACTC